CCTTTTCCACCAGGCAGCTCCAGCCACTCTGCCCAATTCCTTCTTTCACATCAGCACTGTGACTCTTACTGTGACTGAGCCATGAGCTTTTCAGTGCACACCCTCGGCCCAACGCAAACCACCCTCTGGTTTCTTTTCTTCTTTTGCAGTATATGACATAGTGAAGAACTACACCGCGGACTACGACAAAGCTCTCATCTTCAACAAGATTCACCATGAGCTGAACCAGTTCTGCAGCGTCCACACACTGCAGGAGGTCTACATCGAGCTGTTTGGTGAGCTCAGACCTTTCCCTCTTGGCTTGGTGGCTCCTTGAATGATGTTTCTGGTGGTTCTTTGCACGGTCTGTTGGTGCAGAAGGCGCTTCCCCCAACTTAGGGGCTTTTTACCTGTTAATCCAGCGTTTGCCCTTTTTGGGATCAGGATTGTTAACCAGCTACTGTCACTTACTCCTTGGGGTTTTTTGTGCTGGTGCTTCAGTATGTTGTAACAAAAAACTCCAAACCTACCAGCAGTAGTGGAGGGAGCAGTAACTCCCCAGCGTTATTTGTGTGTTTAGCGAATGTGACTTGTTGAATCAGTCACGGGGTTTGCAAGTCCAGATGGAAAAGCCAGTTTTCTGCTCTTTGCTCTTACAAAAAAGTCTTGGCAAAGGCCTGCTGACCTCCCCTCCCTCGCCTCGGGCCGCTGGGAAATGGGGCAGCTGGGAGAGCACGTTGCAAGAGACCGGCTGAAGAAAAGTGGTGGTTTCTTGGTAGACACAGAGCAGTTGCTGCCAGCGCTGAGTGTTTTGTTTATGGCTTTGGGCTGACAAGAAAGCCCTTCCAGCACTTGCAGCAGTGCTGACTGCGGGCAGAGTGTTGCTGTGAATGGTTTTTGGACCCCGAATGGACAGAATTTGTGCCTGAAAGAACACGGCGTTTGCAAACTCCTGTTCTCTGTTCAAACAGGGCTTTCCAAAAAGCCTGGCTTTCCGCTTTCTGACAGGCGTCTGTGCAAGATGCAGAACTGGGGCTCAGTTCCCCTCCAGTTCCTTTCTGGGGCTGCTGGCGGGTGTACTGGTTTCTTTGCTGATGGAGTCTCCAGATGTCGGCAGCTGCTGACGACAACTGCTTGAAATGGACTCAAAGCCACTGATTTGCACAGAAGGAACTTGTATAAACTCCCGTGTAGCTCTTTGTTCCAGCTGAAGGGTTTCTGGCGGGGAGCTCTGCGATGGGGCACAGCCCCTTTGGAGCAGCCCCGGGTCATTCTCTGCCCCCACGTCTGCAGGTGCAGGAAACTGATAGCAGCTGGTTCCTGAACTCCTGGCTGAACTCTGGCCACCAGTGTGAGTTCCAGACAGCTAAACCGGGACCAAAGCAAATAACCCAGGAGTGTGATGTGATCACTTTCAAGGCCATTAGGTTTTTATTTTCCCTTTGCACTTCTCGGCGGGCCCCAACTGGAAACGCCGCTCTCCTCAGAGCTTTTCACTGAAGCAAGGGCTTGGTTTGTATTTCCTTTTGAAATTTTTTAGCTGTGCTGGAGTTAACTGTTATCCATTGAGCCAAACAGACATTACTGAGGATTTGTTGTGTTTGTGGTTTTATTTTTTTATTAACTGATGCAGCCATTTCACGTTTCTGCCTTTCCATTTCCTTTGTCTCCCGCCAGCTGGGATGCAGTTCCTAATCGGTCACGATTTAGCTGGACCATGTTACTTCAGGATCCAGCTGGGAAGATATCAGTGGGGAAGTGGGTCAGAGCACAGGTTCTTTATCACAGAGATGCTACTTCTGGCTGGGAAGGGTTCCAAGCTGCAGGTTACAGGGTACTGGAGGGAGTTTTATCCTGCCGTGTCCCTGTGGTCTGTCCCCAGTGTTTGGCACTGGTCGATGCTGCTTGACGTGCTGGGAGAGATGGGAACCTGCCTCAGGGTCAGGGAGGGCTTTTCTCAGCACTTCTACATCAAACTTACATTTGTACTTTCTTTCCAGGAGTAAGAAATCTGAGCCATTCCAGCTAATTCTGTACATGCTGACAGCACGCTGCCTTCTGGGGGTTTTAGTTAACTGTTGTTATTTCTTCTCCCCAATCAGATCAGATTGATGAAAACCTTAAGCTGGCCTTGCAGCAAGACCTGACTACAATGGCCCCTGGATTAATTATACAGGTAATCAGGATTGCACTTGGGGCTGTCTCAGGTGCAGATTGTGAGGAAGGGGAAAGCTGAAAGGAAATAGGAAGCTGTGAGACTTTTTAAGAGAATTGCTTTGTAACACAGACCCTGTTTAACTTGAGGAATGGGATCAGTATCCTTTCCCTCCCCTCTTAGTTTAGTGATGTTTTTTTATCAGTTAGGTTGATGGTTGGACTAGATGATCTTACGAAGTCCCTTCCAACCTAGAGAATTCTATGATTCTTTGTGTTGGGTTTCTTTTGGTGTTATTTGGGTACTGATTTTCCCAGGCTAGAATCTCCTGTCCTGTCGGGAGATCATTCAGTCATATGTTTGCTCTTCAGAGTTTGGCCCTGGTCACGATTTCTGCAGCATGTGGAAGCTCTGTGTGGCAGAGCTGCCCTCAGCCTCACTCCCCCTCCCTCTGCAGCCTCGGGGACCGTTTGGCTTTTGGTTGTTGGCTGCCTGCCCATGTTTTCTTCGCGCTCTCTCTTTCCAGGCAGTTCGAGTTACAAAGCCCAACATCCCTGAAACAATCCGGAGGAATTATGAGCTCATGTAAGTGCCTGAGACTTGCACCTTTTGTCTGCCCAAAAAGAGTCGCTCATCCAGATTAATGTGTTTTCAGGGCGGGCGGTGATGGGCATGGCCTCTGCCAGCCCCGCGCTCAGCCTCCAGCACGTGTCTGTCACTGGGGGGGTCACTGCCGAGCTGGAAGGTATTTCTCCAGTTTGAACACTTGAGCACAGAAATTATGTGCCCGGGGGCTCCTTCCTCTTGACACTGGCCCCGTTTTAAAGAGGCCTCCCAGAGCGTGTGAGTGAGTGGCAGGTGGATGGATTCCGCCGCTAATCCTGTTGTTTGACCAGGCTGGAGAAGCTGTTGATTCAACGGGCTGAAGACTTGCAAAGCTTTGAAATAACTTTCTTTAATAGCACTTGACATACTGATCCCTTTTCAATGCTCTGAGCCAGCTGCCTCCCCTTGCACTTGGTCATTCAGAAATGCTGATATTCTCCGAGCGCTCTGCCAGCAGCGTCTCTGGAGGCCACAATGAGATCCCTCTCGTCCATTTCGTTTCTCTAGAATTTCATGTGATCTTTTGGGATCATGTAAGTCATGTGCAGCGTGGTCATAACAGGCAGAATCCCAAATCAGCCTGTTGCCATAAATACAGTGGGATATGTGTTGAGAGAGGCTTGTTCTTAACTCCAATCTCTCTTCCCTGATGGGAGCAGGAGCAGAGTATTGCATTTGTATACATGCTTTTAAAAAACTTCTTAGTGTGTGTACAAAACAGTAAGATAGAAAAGCCTTTAGCAGGTAAAATGCATAGAGCCATTGGATTGAATGAAGGGTGATTTCAAAGCTGTGTATTTCCAAACGAAGAAGAATGACCTTCTGTGAGGGCAAGGCTTTTACAGGATTCTAACTTCTTTTTTTAAATAATTTCCTCATTAACAGTAGGGAAAAAAAATTACAGATGTGTATGGTGTGTGACCTGCCTCTTGTAAAGGGCATTGTGGCAGCCTGCAGAGTAGCAGAGTGTTTCTCCCTGATGTGACTGAAATGCCTTCCTGCTGTGGAGGGGAGGAAAAGATACTTTGGTTTAGGAAAAAAAAGCTCGATGCAGGTCCATTCCCTCCCTTTGCTGATGCTGCTTGAGGGAGGACTGAGCCAACTGCTCATCCTGGGGATGTGGTGGGCCACACCACACCAGTTAGCTCACCTTTTGTAACTGGCTTCTTCTGGTTCCTAGGGAGAGCGAGAAGACAAAGCTGCTGATTGCAGCACAGAAGCAGAAGGTGGTGGAGAAGGAAGCAGAGACAGAAAGGAAGAAAGCCCTCATCGGTGTGTATGTCTGTGCTCGAGGGCAGTGACTGTAGGGGGGTGTGGTGGGGTGGGCAGCAAAAGGAACCTGGGCATTGGGGAGGGACACAGCAATGCTGGGTGATCTGTTTGCTGCGGATCTGAAACTCTTCCACAGAAACTCTTTTAAAAAAGAGTTGTTCAGGTGGGTTCCAGCTTTGCCCGCAAATGTAGACTGACGCCTTCTGAGGGCTGAAGATTCTTCCCTCAGTGGATTTTCACCAGAACAGGGTGGTGAGAACTTGTGTGAAGTTGCTTCTGGCATTAGGAAGGCTGCGTGACCGTAACGTGGATGTGCTCTTTTTCATTTCAGAGGCAGAAAAGGTTGCACAAGTTGCCGAAATAACTTATGGACAGAAAGTGATGGAAAAGGAAACAGAGAAGCGAATTTCAGAGATTGAAGGTGAGTGAGCTTTCCAATAGGTGGTGAATTTTATCTAAAGCTCCTGAAGCAGTTCACCCTGCAGTCAAGTAGTTCTTGAGGTGTGTGTATTGACTGTTCTTCACTCCAAGCTGACGTTCACAGGGGTGAAGTCACTGGTCTGAAGGCTTTCGTTTCAGCCCGTGCGTGTGGTACCTTATTTAATGTGTGTCTGAACACTCACATTCTCCCAACAGTTTCACACCCCGTTTTGCAGTGGAGTTTTCAGGGGGACAGATCAGTCGGGACAGCAGAAGGCTTTTGGAATACTTGGGCAATAACATTAGTGGAGCTTGACTCCAGATTCTTAGGTGATTCCGAGTGCAGGAAGTACAGTTGTCAGAGGTGCGGAGAGAGGGAATGCCAGGCCAGTGTCCTCCTAAAAGTAGTGCTGGGATTTGGGTAATGGCTGCAGACTCTCACAGAGAACTGAAAACCTCCTAAAATATTACGGCGCAGTCTTGTGGGGGCAGCCACAGCTCTGCATGATCTGCAGCAGGGTAGAGTTGTGGAAGCTTTCTGTCCTTTTCTTGTTGAGGATTCTTCTCAAACCTGTCTCTTTCTTGAAGAGCTACGCACATTTAGCTTTAGTTTGTGTAGGGTGAAATGTTTAGAAAACAAAGCCTGGCTGGTACACACTCTGCAACAGCAGGGCTCTGTTCTGAGCTTCCTGCTCCTAAAGGCTGAGAGAAAGGCAGGGGAGCTGCTTTTGCACCAAGTTTAGTATTTGTCTGTAACCACTAACTCTGCAGTCTCTCAGTTTAGTTTGCGTTTTTGCCTTTTCATCCTCCTCTGGTTTTGCAGCCAAACACTTTCAGGAGCTGGGACTGCCCAGAGGCAGGAATAGGAATGTTTCTCTGCAGGTTGTGCTGCCTGAAACTCTTCCTGGAGGTGATCCCTGCGGGAGGTTGTGCTGCTGGGTCCAGGAGCCGTTCCCCTCCCATCGGAGGTGACGCTTTGTGGAGGCAATTCCAGGAGATGAAAAGGGCTCTGCCTTTCCAGCTCAGAGGGGCAAGGCCCCTTTTTCAATTACATTCATTATAGGCCCTGTCAGGTTTTGCACTAGAATTTCATGTGATCTTTTGGGATCATGTAAGTCATGTTCAGCGTGGTCATAACAGGCAGAATCCCAAATCAGCCTGTTGCCATAAATACAGTGGGATATGTGTTGAGAGAGGCTTGTTCTTAACTCCAATCTCTCTTCCCTGATGGGAGCAGGAGCAGAGTATTGCATTTGTATACATGCTTTTAAAAAACTTCTTAGTGTGTGTACAAAACAGTAAGATAGAAAAGCCTTTAGCAGGTAAAATGCATAGAGCCATTGGATTGAATGAAGGGTGATTTCAAAGCTGTGTATTTCCAAACGAAGAAGAATGACCTTCTGTGAGGGCAAGGCTTTTACAGGATTCTAACTTCTTTTTTTAAATAATTTCCTCATTAACAGTAGGGAAAAAAAATTACAGATGTGTATGGTGTGTGACCTGCCTCTTGTAAAGGGCATTGTGGCAGCCTGCAGAGTAGCAGAGTGTTTCTCCCTGATGTGACTGAAATGCCTTCCTGCTGTGGAGGGGAGGAAAAGATACTTTGGTTTAGGAAAAAAAAGCTCGATGCAGGTCCATTCCCTCCCTTTGCTGATGCTGCTTGAGGGAGGACTGAGCCAACTGCTCATCCTGGGGATGTGGTGGGCCACACCACACCAGTTAGCTCACCTTTTGTAACTGGCTTCTTCTGGTTCCTAGGGAGAGCGAGAAGACAAAGCTGCTGATTGCAGCACAGAAGCAGAAGGTGGTGGAGAAGGAAGCAGAGACGGAAAGGAAGAAAGCCCTCATCGGTGTGTATGTCTGTGCTCGAGGGCAGTGACTGTAGGGGGGTGTGGTGGGGTGGGCAGCAAAAGGAACCTGGGCATTGGGGAGGGACACAGCAATGCTGGGTGATCTGTTTGCTGCGGATCTGAAACTCTTCCACAGAAACTCTTTTAAAAAAGAGTTGTTCAGGTGGGTTCCAGCTTTGCCCACAAATGTAGACTGACACCTTCTGAGGGCTGAAGATTCTTCCCTCAGTTGATTTTTCACCAGAACAGGGTGGTGAGAACTTCTGTGAAGTTGCTTCTGGCATTAGCAAGGCTGCATGACAATAACGTGGATGTGCTCTTTTTCATTTCAGAGGCAGAAAAGGTTGCACAAGTTGCCGAAATAACTTATGGACAGAAAGTGATGGAAAAGGAAACAGAGAAGCGAATTTCAGAGATTGAAGGTGAGTGAGCTTTCCAATAGGTGGTGAATTTTATCTAAAGCTCCTGAAGCAGTTCACCCTGCAGTCAAGTAGTTCTTGAGGTGTGTGTATTGACTGTTCTTCACTCCAAGCTGACGTTCACAGGGGTGAAGTCACTGGTCTGAAGGCTTTCGTTTCAGCCCGTGTGTGTGGTACCTTATTTAATGTGTGTGTGTCTGAACACTCACATTCTCCCAACAGTTGCACACCCCGTTTTGCAGTGGAGTTTTCAGGGGGACAGATCAGTCGGGACAGCAGAAGGCTTTTGGAATACTTGGGCAATAACATTAGTGGAGCTTGACTCCAGATTCTTAGGTGATTCCGAGTTGTTTGTGTAGGGTGAAATGTTTAGAAAACAAAGCCTGGCTGGTACACACTCTGCAACAGCAGGGCTCTGTTCTGAGCTTCCTGCTCCTAAAGGCTGAGAGAAAGGCAGGGGAGCTGCTTTTGCACCAAGTTTAGTATTTGTCTGTAACCACTAACTCTGCAGTCTCTCAGTTTAGTTTGCGTTTTTGCCTTTTCATCCTCCTCTGGTTTTGCAGCCAAACACTTTCAGGAGCTGGGACTGCCCAGAGGCAGGAATGGGAATGTTTCTCTGCAGGTTGTGCTGCCTGAAACTCTTCCTGGAGGTGATCCCTGCGGGAGGTTGTGCTGCTGGGTCCAGGAGCCGTTCCCCTCCCGTCGGAGGTGACGCTTTGTGGAGGCAATTCCAGGAGATGAAAAGGGCTCTGCCTTTCCAGCTCAGAGGGGCAAGGCCCCTTTTTCAATTACATTCATTATAGGCCCTGTCAGGTTTTGCAGGAGGCCGCTGAGGAGCCAATTAAGAGTTTTACAGATCAGCAGCTTCTCATTAAGAAGCTCTTTGCAGCAATACAATGTTTTTTATTTCTTATAAATGCGTGTCACCGGGTGTCAGGCCTTCAGTTCAGCTCTGTGCTGGCAGAGGACTCCTGGCTCCCTTGTTATTTCTTTTCTGGAACCACCCTTTTTAGCCAAAAGAGAGGAAGTCATGGGCCAAACCATCCAATTGCTTGCATGATTTTCAAGTGTAGCAGCTCACAGGACTCCCTGCTAGTAGAGGTAAACAAGTGGTTTGTCCAGCTGTGCAGCTCTCAGACCCAGGCTGCTCTGTGTGACGGTTGTGTGGCTGCCTGTCAGAGCAGGACTGGCAGGACATCACATTGAACCTGCCAGATTAAGTTTAGCTTTACATGGTGGCCTGATACCACATCATTATCATTGGACAGAAAAAAAGGAGTGCAATACAGCAAGGGGAATTGTTTTTTTCCTTAAATGTCTTTGCTCTGAGTCAGGGAATCCTGGTATCCTGCAGGATTGGGATTGTTGATATTGCAGGGAAACAGCTCTCTGCCATCTGTCAGAGGGGCAGAGCCTGGAAAGGTTAAAATCGCCTGTTTCTACATGCCAGAGCCTTAACCTCAGTATCCCAGACAAAATCCCATCTGGGGAATTGCATTCACAGTCACAGGCTTCATCTGCAGAGCAGTCTCTGTGCTGTTCCTGGAGCCCTCTGCAAATGTCGTGGGTAAATACCACGTTTTCAGGGGAACAGTTGCTGCGTTTTCAGCACGAGAGTCAGTGGCTGGCTGGAGAAGAAAGAGCATTCTCAGCCCGCGTGACAGGGGCAGTAATAAAAACCTTATGTTTATAAAATGCTTTGAGGTCTTCAGTTGCAGATGCAATTTACTTAATGCTATCATCCTGCAGCGCTTTAGATGTAAATTGAGATGCCCTTTCTGGGTTTCCCATGTTGTTCCCTCTTCCCCTGGTTTTATCCCATACACTTTAGGTTGGGTACTCGCCTCTTTTTCAAAAGTTTCCAGCTGCAAATGGTGCTTCTGTGGCTGGAAATAAAAATCTGAATATGAGAGTGTGTGTTTTCTTCCAGATGCTGCATTTCTTGCGAGAGAGAAGGCGAGAGCTGATGCCGAATGCTACACAGCTATGAAGGTGGCTGAGGCTAACAAGGTATTGTGATTTCCTTATGCTGTGGGATTCCTTACGTGAGGCTGTACAGAACTGCTCAGGAAAAGAGCCCGCTGTGATTATTGTTTGCTTGTTGTGTCTCATTGTTTAAGTCTAAAAGCAAAACAAAGCCATCTCCTCTCAGAAAATTTTTCATTGAGACTGAAACAATTAGATCCTTATTTGCAAATTCATCTTCTTCTCCGGTCGGATAAATTTATGTCAGGGTATGTGAAATGTCTGGTCATCTCTGGAGACAGCTCTGCTAACGGGGCCGTGGCTCCCTCTGTAGATAGAAGATCAGTTTCAGCGCTGCCCTTTCACGCTGTCGTAATCAGAAATGTCCTTCATTCCAATCCACAAGCCGGCGAGCAGGCAAATCTGGGAGATCTCCAGTGACAGGCAGGCTTGGAGTAAACAAGTGCCCAGGTAAAGAACAAACAGGGCTGATCTTAGACACCAAAATAATGATAATTAGCCCGGCAAAGCCTGGGTCCTGCAAAAGGATAAAAAAACCAAGCAACAAAACCACAAAATACCCTAGAAACAGAGAAATAGTATGGATAGAACTGCCGGGCTTGTTCCTGCCTGCAGCCTGTTGCCAGGACATCCCAGCAGGAAGACTCTCTGTTTTGTGAGGGTCACTGAGAATGGACAGAGGTCTGGGATGTTTGTGCACAAGTTCTGTCCCAGTTATTCTGTCCTCCCGGTTATAATGTCATTATCCTGAACGAATGAGCTCTACTCTCCCAAACAGACCCGTCAATCTGCTGGCTGGAAAAAAGCCAGTTGTATTTTTCTTTCCAGTAGCTTGCCTTGCGAGGGCTTTCAATGAGTTATGTGCTTTCGAGCATCTCCGTCTCTGCTACATTTGGATTGAACATTTCCCCAGCTGCTCCCATCACTTTCTCATTTTGCCATTTAGTCACTGGGATTTAGAGCTTCGCTTAGACACGCTGAAAGAGAGCCTTCTCCTGGGCACTCTGTCTTTTCCACTGAAGAGGGGACAAGCATGTCTGTGAGTCTCCTGGAAAAGGAGATGCCTCGTGTGCTCAGGACAGAGGTTTGCTTTTGGCTGAGTCGGAGCCGTTGGTGATCTGTTTTCTTTTTGTGCAGCTGAAGTTAACTCCCGAGTACTTGCAGCTGATGAAATACAAGGCTATCGCAGCGAACAGCAAGATATATTTTGGCAAAGATATTCCCAACATGTTCATGGACTATGCAGGAAGCCAGACCAAATTTGCAGAGGGACTGGCAGAAGGAATCCAAGAAGAGGACGGGGCGGGAACCAGTGAGGACGCAAAACTGCTTCATAATGTCAACTGAAAAGAAAGATTTCTATTCGTTTTATATCAGAAGAAACAGAACTGGGAAGTTCCTTTTTGTTTTCCCCCTTTCCTGTACTGAAAGAGACGAATCAGACTTATTCCTTTGAATCTTTTGTATGACAATTAGACACAAAGACTTTGGTATTTATGGGGTGTTTTTTTCTGGTAACTTCTAAGCAGCCAGCTCCAAGCGTGTCCTCTAGGTGCACCTCTCCCTGCTCTTGGACATAAAGACCAAATTATCATGGAGAGGGCAGCTAGAGTATCTGTTTGGCAGCCAGCTTAGATGAGTACTTAATTTTGGATTTAGGTGGTTTGTAGCAGTGGGAAGAAAAGAAATTTTGAGGTTTTGGAGAGAGAGAAGTTGCTGCTACAACTTGTTTTGGCTTTTTTTTTTTTTTTTTCTTGTTGGAAATTTCAAGTACTTTATTTCAAACCCCTTTAAAAAAAATAGAAAAAAAGGTGCTAGACTTTTGTACACTACACGTGGCTGCTTGAAGGCCCCGACCTGGTCCAAACGGCCGGCGGTGGCCCGTTGTGTGGGGCGCTGGGAGGGTGTAAGGGCCCGTGTGTGGGCTCTGTGCCCACCCCCAGCACGGGCTGCATCAAATGCACCAAAACTACCTTCAACCCAAGGTCTGAGCCGACGTGTTTGGCTTCAGTGGGGCAGCCGAGACCCCCCTGGTGCACGGTGAGGTACAGGAGCTCAGCTGAAATCCCACAGGTTTCCTAGTTCCCTTGGGGGGGGTTGATCTGAGCCTTAGACCACGTGTCACGCAGGTAGTGGCCCAAACTCTTCATTTTCTGCATTTTAACACTGCTTTGTTTTCCATGTGTCATATTTTGGGGAGGGCAAAAGGGGGGGAATGTGTTTTTGAGGCCTTTCCCAGCAGTTCAGCTGCGAAGGGAGGGCTGGGCTGGTGGGGACAGTCCTGCCAGTGGGTAAGGGGAGCTGATTTTTGTGAAACCAGGCTGCGAGCACGGTACTTCTCACCGACATCGTAGTTAGAAAAACTAGGGAGAAAAAGAAATTTTTGTCTCAGGGACCCTGACTTAGCAAAAGGCCTTGCTGGCGAGTAACGGCTCGAGTGACCGGTCCCGCGGTCGTTCCAGCAGGTTACTTGCCCCTGCGAGACCAGCTGATTTCAGTGTTTACAGTGTCTTACTAGAAAGAGGACATTCAGGTGTACTGAAAGGAACAGAACAGAGTTACTGTTGGATTTGGATTTTTTTTTTTTTTTTCTGAGTAGACCTCGGGAAAGGAAGATTTCCTGGTAGCAAAGGACATAAAACATCATACTGAAAAGTCACAGGGTGAAGAAAAGACTCTGGACTGTCCAAAGATAAATTTTCTTTTTTTTTTTTTCCTTTACTCAGAACAGTGCTATATTATGTACCTTTCCTTTCAGAAAACTTTGCATACCAGATGCAAAGAGGTAATAGGGTTTTGTTTTGCACACATGCAAAACTTGAGGGGGTGTTAAAGACAAAAGTTCAGGCCTAGAGAGAACATGGGGTTTTTTTTCTCTCCCTAATCCATCTGCTGCTTGGCAGAAGAGCCTGTTTATTAATTGCTGGTACAATTTGTGGCCAATGTACCAGTATGAGATGATGCCAGTGTGAGTGTGAACTTAGTTGTCAGGGACCAGCCTATTGAAATTTACAATCTCGTGCCCTGAACGCTTGCTGCCTACTGCACTTGGTGTCACTCCTCAGTGTTTTAAATACGCATTAGTCTTTTTAATAAGGCAGTCACACTAAGAGAGAAATCTGATGGATTTCAGCTGCTGGTTCCAGTATTTTTTACTTTGGTTTTCTTTTCCCTGTTAGGGGAGTGACTGTTCACGCATGAAAATGCAAAATAAAAGATAAAAGTCAGTTTCTGCTGGAGAGAAGTCCCATCTCCTGTGTGATGTCTTTGTATTTGTTGGAAAATAGGAGCCGAGGGAAGTTCCATCTCCAGGCGTATGCGCTACATGAGACACAGTGCTCAAAAAATTGCATTAATAGGTAGGCTGTAACATTTACTGACTTCTATAAATGGGTCTCTGCAGGAAGATTCTCAACGGGAGTAGCAGAAACTGAGGAATGAGGTAATAGTATCTAAACCTTTGAGGATGACCTCATTTGGGATTGTTCTATGTTCATGTTAGAGAATTCCACTAGTAACTAAACTCCAGGTTTTACGCAAGTATTTTTCAGTAATGAAGAGAGACAGATAAACCAAAATGGTATTATGAAGTAATTTTTTGTATGACCTCATGGTAAGACAGTAGTTTGGAATTTATAGTTCTTAATGATTTTTTTAATTGAAAACATTACTGCTAAAGTATTATTGGAATTTAAATTGTAATAACAGTAAAAAAGCAAAAACAAAGTTGCAATGGTACCAGCCTTCACAAGCCAAAATCCAGTGTTGCTTTTCATTCAAGTTTCTTCATTATATGTATAATTTCCTTAATTTTCCAGAGTAGATCTGTCACTACCTGTAAATCTTTATTCGATCTATCTCTTTAACTGGCATTTTGTCCTAATTTCTATAATCTGAAATCTTGAAGATCTGAATCTTAAAACCACTCCGTGTAACAAACAAACCAGAGGTTTGTGGCACTGCTGATCCCTGAGAATTGCTGGTGGGAGCATGGGAATGCTTTACCGGTACAGTCTTTGATCATCTTATGTATTGAATTAAAAGCCTTTTTATTTTGGTATTTGCTATGACAATAAAATGGCCTTCAGTTTTAATATTGGTCTTATTTTTTTTTTCCCTGTGGGTAACCTTTAACACAGCGTGTAGGTGTATTTGCAGGGGAAGGTTCCGGCTGAGGAAGAGGGGCAGAGGTGTCCCGTCGGCTGCCACAAGTGTCTTTTGGCTCAAATTGGTGAAAAATACGGTAACGAGACTTGAGTGTCAAATATCTAGGATTTGGTAAAGCCTGCCGAAAATCATCGTCCTGTTTTACCAAAGGGCAGGAACCTTCTGGGTGTTTCTGAACAGCTGTGTAAATACTGCCCTCCCTCAGAATATGGGGAGGGGGGAGCAAGTTCTGCACATTAAGGCAAATATTTTAGCTAATGTGTTCCAGCTGGTGCTCTCCCCCTCCCTCCATCCTCCTCCCCCCAGAAAGGCTGCCATTGTCCCTGGCGCCGGGGCCTCCCCGGCTGTGGTGCCTCTGGGGTCCTTCCTGCCTGCCTGGTGAAGGTTATTTTATTTTTATGAAGGTTAATTTTCTGAAATCTGCACTCTAGCGAGACCCCTCTTTGCACGCGGGTGGGGGGAAGGTGATTTTTTTTTTTTTTTTTTTTTTTTTTTTTTTTGTGGGGGGTTTTGGGGGGTTTTT